CAAGTAGCTGGAACTACAGGCACGCGCTACCACGCCCGGCTAGTTTTTGATTTATTGTAGGGATGAGGGCTCGCCAAGTTGCTCAGGTGGGTCTTGAACCCGCGGGCTCAGGCAATCCACTCACCTTAGCCTCCCAAAGACGTGGGATTACAGGCTGAGCCACAGAGGTTTTTTTTTAGTTGGAGTCTCACTCTGTCACCCAGACTGGAGTGCAGTGGCCGCTCCCGGCCACCGCAGCCTCGACCTGCTGGGCTCCGGCAATCCTTCTGCCTTAGCCTTCCAAGTAGCTGGAATTACAGGCATGCACTACCACGCCCGGCTGATTTTTTGATTTATTGTAGAGATGAGGTCTCTCTGCCCAGGCAGGTCTCGAACCCGCGGGCTCAGTCAATCCACTCACCTCAGCCTCCCAAAGGCGTGGGATTACAAGCTGAGCCACCCAGTCCGGCTAGCCTACATTTTAATGGAGTCATATGTTTCTCTGATTTGTTTGAGTTCTTTGTAGATTCTGGATATTAGCCCTTTGTTGGATGCATAGTTTGTGAATATTTTCTCCCATTCTATAGGATGCCTTTTTACTGTATTATTTAGTTTTTGCTGTGCAGAAGCTTTTCAGTTTAATAAATCCCACTTATTTTTGTTTTTGTTGCATTTGCTTATGGAGCCTTAACCAGGTTGCCTAGGCCAATGTCTAGAAGAGTTTTTCCTAGGTTTTTTTTTTTCTTCTGGAACTCTTATTGTTTCAGGTCTGATATTTAGGTCTTTAATCCATCTTGAGTTAAGTTTTGTATATGGTGAGAAATAGGGATCCAGTTTCATTTTTCTGAATGTGACTTTCCCGTTTTCCCAGCTCCGTTTGTTGAATAGGGTGTCCTTTCTCCAGTGTATGTTTTTGTCTGCTTGGTTGTAGGTATTTGAGTTTATTTTTGAATTCTCTATTCTTCTCCATTGGTCTATGTGTCTGCCTCTATACCAGTACCATTCTTTTCTGGTTACTGTAACCTTGTAGAATAATTTGAATTTAGGTAATGTGATGCCTGTGTTCTTTTTGCTTGGGATTACTTTGGCAATTCAGAATCTCTTTTGGTTCCTTATAAATTTTGGGATTGTTTTTTGTAATTCTGTGGAAAAAAATGACATTGGTAGTTTGATAGGGATCAAATTAAATTTGTAAATTACTTTGGGTAATATGGTCATTTAAACAATGTTGATTCTTCTAATTCATGAGCTTGAGATGTTTTTCCATCTGTTTGTGTCCTCCTACTCATAGCTACTCCTACTAATTTTTGGTTTCCATGTGCTTGGAATATTTTTTTCCACCCTTTTATCTTGAGTCTGTAGGAGTCTTTGAGTTAAGTGGGTCTCTTGAAGGTAGCAGATATTTGGATTGTGTTTATTTCTCCATTCTGCCAATTTGTCTTTTAAATTCAGCATTTAGACCATTTACACTCAAAATTGGTAATGACATGTGAAGTGCTGTTCCGTTTATCATGTTGATTGTTACCTGGCAACTGTATTTTCTCCATTATGTTAGTGTTGTATATACCCTGTGAGTTTCACAATATCCAGTGTCTTTCTGCTGATGCGTTTTGACCTTTTGCTTCAATGTTTAATACTCCTTTGTGCATTTCTTACAGAACTGGTCTAGTGGTGACAAATTTCCTCATCATTTCCTTGCCTGAGACTTTATGTCTATTTCATTTATGAAACTCAGTTTGCAGAATACAAAATCCTTGGCTCTCAATTATTCTTTTTGAGGAGAGTAAAGACAAGACTTTAATAACTTCTAGCCTGTAAGTTATCTGTTGAGAACCTGCTCTTAGTCTGATATGTTTGTCTTTATAAGTTGTTTGATGGTCTTTTTTGTTTTTTCACTCCTCTTAGAATTCCTTCCTTCATGTTTTGTTGTTGTTGTTTGCTTGTTTTTTCCTGGCTTGGGTTATGAAGATAAAAGGGAAAATAGTTAGAATTTGAATGTATATTTCACTGTCTATATAGTAAAGTGATGAAAAGTTGTAATTTGTAAAATAGGACAGACACTTAAATATAAAATATTTTCTAATCAGCAAAATTGTCAAGAATATTTCAGATTGTAAAATGAGCCATATTCAAGAAAATACTAATTATTTTGTTAAATTGAGACTTTTATATTAGGAATTAAAAGTTGATAGCCAGAGAGTAATATGTTAATAAGGGAAGAACAATTTAAGGCAGAACATAGTATTATTTTTGACATAATTATTTTTTAAGATGATATAGAATAGTATGAGTGAATGTACATATAATCCATGCAAATGGTATTGCTTACATGTAAGTATATAGTATGTTTGCTATTACATTAGCTATGCCCAAGTTATATATCAGAATAATTATATATTTATTCATTTTCTTAAAATTCTACAAATATGGTCACATATTTTTGCTTTTATGTACACTCCTCCTTTTTATGTTATAATGTAATATTTTTTATCTGTGCCCATTCTCCTAAAATTTTATTCACATATATGTTTATATATGTCTATAAAAATATTAATATTAATGTATGCACATTCCATATCTTGTAATATCATCATTTATTACTTAAAAAGTGAAATCATATTAAATATAATTAATTTTTGATGACTTAATAATATTTATAGTGGTGAGCTATAATCTCTAATGTATTCCTTTAAATGACTACCCTAGAATATGACATAAAAACAATCACATTTTTCAGTTGACAGGTATGCTCTTTGTTTTGACATGTTTTCTTCTCAAACTACAGTATTTTTATTTTGATGTGATATATTTAGAGGACAAGAACTGTTGAGTCTTAGTTGATAGGAATATATATGCATTTGTGTGTGTTTTATATGCGTTTGGAAATTTAAAAGAGGTTTGCAAAATTGCTTTGGAAATACTGTAGCATTTCATGTTTCTAGTAGTATTGAATCTATTACTGATCTAGAGTATCTTATGCATTACAGCTCATGTTAAATCTTTTCTTTGTCTTTGCCACACTCATGTGGTTTGAAACAATATCTCATTATTTTAATTTCTATGTCCTAGGTTACTAGCAAACAGCACCATTTTGTATATTTTTGGCACTCTGCATTTGTTCTTCTGTAAATTATCTATTCATATAACGTTTTACTATTTTTAACTTGTATTTCTTTCTTTTGTTTGTCAATTGTAAGTCCTTTTTGTATAAAATAAACGTTAATCCTCAACTGAAATGGAAATATTTTCTAGGCATATTATATTCTTTTCAACTTTATTGTTCATATTTTTCACTATGCAAACATTTTACATGTTTACATAGTGAACTATGGCTATATTTGATCACATCTGGATTTCCTACTAATTCAAACATACATTCTTATTCTTTGACTATTAATTTATTGTTCAAATAATTAATAAATAATACTCACTAATTAATAATAATTAATCATTCTAATAATTAGCAATTAATTATTCTAATGATTGATTGTTGGTTGTTCTAATAATTAATAATTTGTTATTCTAATAGTTAATCATTAGTTGTTCTAATAATTTATTATTATTATTATTAAATTTTGACTCTTAAAGTGTGTATGTTTGTGAATTACCATAAATATATATGGTGTGTATATAGATTATATATATGTATATATGTGTGTATATATATATATATATATATTCACACACGTATATATGTATTTGAGGGAGATGAATATTTTTAGAAAAATGTTTTCAGATGATTTTAACCAGGATTATGAGAACACATAATGGATTTCCACTTAGCCTTACATTGTTTTTTGACCTTCAATTAAATATATATAGTACTCTTCACACATTGCAGTGGTTCTCTAGTTAAAGATTTAGATCTTTGTCTCTATGAACAATGGAATTTTAAAAATATTTTTGTTTTCAAGCGTTTACTGCTAAAATATAGAGAGGATAAAATTATAATTGTAATAATAATTTTTTGAATATAAAACATCTCTTGGATTTTCTAGGTTTACAATCACACAATCATCCAAAGAAGATCATTTATTTCTTCTCTTCTGTTAAATGTCACTAAATATACCTATACTTTGTCTCAAATTACAGATAGGCCAGAAAGACCATGGCGTCCTGGAAGCAGGCCAGCTGGTGAGACGTGAGCATGCTGATGATGAAGGTGAACACATCGTCGATGAAAGTGTTGAACGCCTTGTAGGTGAAGGCCTTCCAGGGCAAATGCACCACCGACTTCATCTTGTAGTTCACAAAGAACTGGGGCAGCATGAAGAGGAAGCGGAAGGCATAGGAGCTGTTGACAAAGCTGCTGATCAGCCATGAATGCCAGCTCTTGTACCTGACGTTCAGGACAGAGTAGACAGCGCCCCCATGCACAGCAGGTAGCGCAGGTATGACAGGAACTTCATGGCCTGCGTGTCGTACTCCTTGGTCTTCCTCTCAGACTCGCTGGATGCACCAAACTGGAGCTGTGGTCTTAGGCCTCTCCAGAGGACGGTCATCTCAAGGCCTTCTTCACTTTCCAGAGCTCGATGGCAGTGTCAATGCCAGCATGGACGAGCACCAGCAGGCTTGTCTGCTCGTCTAGCAGGAACAGGAAGATGACCCCCGTGCTGAAGCAGCACCAGAGGACTGCCTTGGTGGACTTGCCGATCATGCTTTTCTTCTTCTTCCAGAAGCTGATGTCATTTTTAAAGGCCCAGAAGTCACCTCATCAGCATCTTTCTCTGAAAACCCGTGCTGCTGCAGCGAATGTACGGCATCCTGCATGTGGATCCAGAAGCACAAGCGGCCTAACGAGACCTTGACGTGGGACACGGTGAGGGGCAGCTTGGAGGTGGAGTGGCTGATGACCATCAAGTCCTCCACGTAGTTGCTCAGCTGGTCGATGAGCAGGATGGGCAGGTAATACACGGTCTTCCATAGCTGGACCATCTTCTTGTAGCAGTGCACATTGGTAGGCAGGGATGTCCCGTCGAAGACGAAGTTGTCCACCATCACATTCAGCATCAGCCTCGGTCTCCAGTGGGAAACCGGCTCGTCCAGGGCGCTCGTGGGCTTCTCGGCTTCGATCTGCTGCTCTGCAGACTCCCACATGAGCAGGTTGACCTGTTCTGGTTTGGGGACCATGTAGGTGGTCAGAGCACTGACCAGGTGCACCTGCCTCCCATCGTGCCACGGCAGAATCCCGGCATGGTGGAGGAAGATGTAGGCATACAGCGTCCCATTGTTTCGTGTTTTCTTTGGTACAGAAACATTGACCATCCTCTCAAATTTGGACTCCATGTCGAAGACTTTCACGTTCAAGACCAGGTCAGTGTTGTTCTCCACACCCAGGTGGGAACGCGTGGTGGTGTAGACGCTCAACTGCAGCCTGGGACGCTGCACCAGGTAGGACTGGATACAGAGGGCGGCGCCGGCGCACGGGCGGGTGTAGACGATGCTGTACATGACCCTGCGGGTGTGCACCTCGTAGAGTACGAACACACCCACCACCAGGCCGGTGAAGGAGCTGCAGCCGCTCCACAAGGCGGGGCAGGCCAGTCCGCCTCCCAGCGGCTCAGGCCAGGCCCAGCGCGCGCTTCCCACAATGCGGCGGAGGAAGGAATGCACGCCCCGCCCGGCTCCGACCTGGCGTCGGGGATTCCTTTTTTTCTTTTTAAATCACAAAAAAGTTTGTTTTTCGCAAACTAATTATACCGAAGTTGTTTGAAAAAGAGTGAACTCAAAAGACTTGATCTGTTTATTTGTTGCTTGGCATTTTATACACCATTTTTCTTCTAAACATGTACATTTTTGCAAACAAGAGAGGATCTTGTACTGTGTGTAGGAAGACAGGTACTTTTTAAATTCAAAAAGTATTCAAAGTACTCAAAGCAATAGTCTTCCTCCTTTTCCAGAGATATGTTTACATTAACAAAGCTATTGACAGAAATTCCATTGAGCATATATTGCTTTAAAATTTTTGATCTATCTAGAACAGAGCACTATTTTAAATGTTACCTCGCAATGAGATAATTGTAGATATTTTTAACAAGTCATATGAGGTGGGACTCCTAAAAAATAGGAATTATCTTTTGGAGGGCAGGCCTCTTGTAGTACAGGTTTCCCCAACTAGGTAAGTATTGTAGGAACCCACCGGCATCGGTGTACCAGCTAACATTGTTGGGAGAGATTGCATTGGGCTTCAGTGAATTGATTTTGGAGATTCTTTCAATGCATTTGCCCATTTCATGGTGGGAGATTTACAAAAACACCTGCTCACATGGGACTAAGTGTTCAGCAGTTTTTGACCAAAACCGGCATGACTCCTCTGTCCCACCCTCACTAGTCACCCTCTCTCTCCTGAGGGACTTTTTTTGTTTCCCCATATGAAAGAAACCTCAAAGGGAAACGTTTTTCTCTTGTGGAAGAGGTGAAACAAAACACAGCACTAGCCCTAAGAGGCATCAAAATTGACACATTAAAAGACTGTTTTGAGCATTTGAGCAGTGGCAAAAGCATCTCGACAGATGAATTACATCAAATGGAGAGCACTTTGAAGGTGACTGGAGTGTAAACATGTAAGAATAAATACGCAACTTTTTAATAAATAAATTCCATTTTGAGGTGATCCCCCCTTGCATATATTATACATTTATTTTTATGGGAGGATTCTTTTTATGAAAATTATGCCAGTGCCTCTTCAGGGTATAGTGCTGTGTTGGGAACATGATGCATATTTGCTAATATTTGGAAACATAATGAATGGATGAATGAATGTACAAACTGATGGGGCTTACTTAGCTTTACACTCTCTACTTCTAAAGTAATTTAAATTATTATATAACAAAAATAATCTTATATTGCAATAAAGTTAATTCATACCTTGGGATATAAAAGTAAATTCAACCAGACATTAATTCTGAACTAGGAGCAATTATGCACTTTCTGAAATGATGTATAACATTCATGGAAAATGTATTTTCTATTTGTTTTGATAGAAAACACATATGGCAAATAAAATTACATATTTTAATCAGTAGTTTATTAATGTTTCATACTAGCAACTGTTAATTCTACTTTTCAGTTATTTTTAAACACCTGACACAGTTTTATTAATGGAATGGGAAAATAGACTTCAGCAAAATTTATTTATTTTCAGAATAATGTTTGAAACATATAAACTCTGAATAAGTAATATTTGCATTAGCTATTTATTGCTACATAACACAATTACTACAAAATGCACAACCTAAAGCATCATATATGTATTATCTCACACCTTCTGAGGGTTATGAGTCTGTGAGCAACTTAGTTGGGTATTTCTGGCAAGAATTTTTCATGATGCTGTGGTCAAGGTATTGACTGGGACTGTGGGGACCCAAAAACTTGGTCAAGCTGGAAGATTCATTTCCAAAGGACCACCTGACATGACTGTCAGCAGGTAGACGCAGGTTCTTCCTGACTGTTGGCGGAAGACCTCAGTCCCTTGCCATGTGGACCTTTTCAGAACTCTCCCTGAGTGTCCTCAGGGCATACCAGCTGCCTTGCCCAGAATGGGTAATCCAAGAAAAAATATAAACGCCTCCATGTCTTTTATGACCTACTTTTGTAAGTCATGGTCATTGTCACCATGTTCTGCTTGTTAGAAGCAAGTCATTAAGTAACAGCCCAAACCCCAATGAAGTGGAATGAGATTCCTTTGAATGAAGGTATCAAAGCTGTGTGGTCTTATCCTTTTTCACAAAACTTACTGCTTACTATGATCTAGTCAATCTTCTAAGGTTTATACATGAGAATATATTTCACTCTCACTTCACCTTTAAAAGTGCTATTATTAGTCCACTTATTCATAAGGAAACTGAACACAGAGCTCCTAAGTATATTTCCCAAAGTTACAGAGCTAAGTGACAGTGTCACATTTCACACTTGGATAGGTTGTTTCTAGAACGTATACTTTTAAACTGTCTTAAGCTGTTTATCACTGTGTTTGCATATTCAATGGAAGTCTATTTAAGTTAACAGTCATTTTTCTTTACTACAAATGGCAATTCACTGATTTGTTAACTGACATAAAATTTTGCTGTCAACAGCTTATAGACAAATAACAAATGCAAAGTTTTTATAATCCAAGAAAGTGGTTATTATGACTTTAGACACAAGGTCTTGCTATGTTCCTGAGGCTGTCCTCAATCTGAGATCAAGCAATGGCCCCACCTCAGCTTCCTTAGTAGTTAAGACTAGAGACGTGTGCCACCATACCCAGCAAAAATATTATTTTTTACTTAATTATACCTTAACTACATTGAGTATAATTTTAATCATTTATTTTTCTGTCATTCAGAATATCCTGTTCCATAACAAGAAAACTATGATGAAATGCATACAATCTCAGAAATTAATCTGTACTTTGTGACTTACATTAAAGGCATTCAACAAAATGAATACTTTTCAAGCTGATGTGACCTCAGAAAAAAAGCAGTTCCTTTTGTTCCTATAAATTAGTTTTCAACAAAAACTAGTTAAAATTCAAATTAATATCAGCAGAAGTACAAACTAGTACATCTATTCTAGTGATTATGTCCATATCACTGACATATGAAAAGGAAAAAAATTATAAAATATGATATTTAAGAAAGTATTCATAAAATTTTATGTTCAAATCAAATTAAGAAAATTACATTGAGAAAGTGAGTAGAGGTTAGATTCCTAACATGGACCTGTCTAAACAATTCTCAATGTCTGCAGTGTCCATGACAGTGTTTATGCCATGGGGGTGACCTTGCTTTTACTGCTTATAGTATTATGGAAAGGAAAACGTGAGGAGGAAGGCACTAGTCCAATATGTGAACCCTGGAGTTATGAGGTGAGCGGTCCTACACAGACTGAGAAGAAAACCTAACATAGAAAGGACATCTACACTGATTCTTGCCAGAGCCTGAGGAGGCTGTTGCTAGGAGGTTTTATCCTCAAGTCTCATTTACACACACAAAGGTCAACAGAAAAGAGGAAATAAAATTAATTTTCTTCGCCACTTTGTAGACTATTCTCAACACAAAATGTCAGTTCACTTAAACAAAATGTTAAATGTCGTTGAACACTAGGCCTACTTCTCTAGTGGATCCCAAATTTGTACAGAACCATTTTTCTTGGGAAATGAAAAGTTTTGGTTTATCCTTCTTCCTGGTGTTTGTCTCTCCCCTGCTTCATACTGAAGTGAACACCAATTTTAATGGGGGGGAAAAATTCTCCCCTTTTCTAGCTAAAATGTCATATATTTCACATTATAGAAATAAACTGTTCCCAAACCTCTGTATCTCAGCTGGTTTAAAATTAGATTTTGATACTTTTTGCTGAAGAAATGTGGGATAACTGAGAAATTTCTAGTGTGTTTTATGTATTACTTCATTCATTGTAATTTATGAACAGAACTGAATTTAATAAATAACTATACTTCATTCAAATATTATTCTACTTTTAATTTGTAACTTTCTGAACACTCAAATCATCATCAAAGCATGCAAGATATATAATATTTTCTTTTTTATTGGTTTTGTCATTGACTACTATAAAAAACATATTGCCTCTTGAAACTTTTAGGGAAAAAAGTTACCATCTTTCAGAACTGATCCTCTGACTTTTGTTGACTGCTAGTTTTACATAGCTTTTAAAAATTTGGGATATAATTCCCTAGTAACACTAGCCACACTTCAAGTGCTCAATAGCCACGTCTAGCTGGTGGCTACTATACTGGACAGTGCAGACAGAGCAAACATTTTCATCATCTCAGAAAGTTTTATTGGTCAGTGCTGCATTATTCATTTATACCTGGAGTCATAATAGTTTACAAACAGTAAGATTATTATATTTGCTTAGTGCTTTTTCCCCCCTCTTGTTTAAACAAATCTCTAATTTTAATCTATGATGTCATAGTGACAAAAGCTGATCTCAAAAACTCTTGCTAATTTTTTTCAGACTAGTCTGAAATGTTTGTTAAAATTATTGAATATTGACTGGGCATGGTGGCTCATGCCTCTAATCCCAGCACTTTGGGAGGCCAAGGCAGGAGGAATGCTTGAGCCCAGGAGTTCAAGACCACAGTAAGACCTTGTCTCTGCAAAAATAAAGTAAAATAAAAATAAAACAATCATTGAATATTTAGTTTTTAACAGAGTAAAGTATCAGTGATCAAAGAAAAAAATCTGGTTTGTTTTTAAAAGTTTTTGCTGGGCTCGGTGGCTCAGCCTGTAATCCCGCGCCTTTGGGAGGCTGAGGTGAGTGAATTGCCTGAACCCACGGGTTCGAGACCCACCTGGGCAGCGAGACCTCATCTCTACGATAAATTAAAAAAATCAGCCGGGCGTGGTGGCACATGCCTGTAATTCCGGCTACTCGGAAGGCTGAGGCGGAAGGATCGCTGGAGTCCAGCAGGTCGAGGCTGCGGTGGCCGGGAGCGGCCACTGCACTCCAGTCTGGGTGACAGAGTGAGACTCCAACTCAAAAAAAAAAAAAGTTTTTGAGATGCTCTTTTTTAGGTCCAACAAAT